CTGAAAAGTAATGTTAAAAAGCAGCATCTATATGAAAGTGCTTTTTGAAAGAATCATTTATTCTTATGAATGTAACGTCTGCCTGTTGCACTTCCATATATATACTGTAGATCTGTTTTGCATCCATCACAGATTTGTGCTATAGAGAGCTTTAAAACGGCACTTCTCCAAAAACAAGAATCCAGGTGCAATCTTTTACCTTTAGCTTCTCAGCTCCTCTTGAACACCTGCTCTATTCCTCTACACAGTCCCAGGATGCTCTCTCTTCTCTCCAGCTATTTCTCTCTCTTCCTAGGCTTGGAGGTGTGCAGTACCTCCCCCTTGCTCATAACCAACTGACTGCAGTGTTTGATTAAAAGCGCATTTGGACGGTAAAGAAAGAACCCGACCCGGCCTCTGTAATTAAGATCACTTCCGAGATTACTGGCGACAACAAAAGTGCAGAAAGCGGGGATCCTGCGGCCAAGGCGAGCGAGATAAAACAGAGGAGCATGGGACGGGGCAGACCCCTCGTGTGCCTTGATCAAACGTCCAGTCGAGGGGAGACGGACCCCCACTGCTCGCAATATGAGTGAATCTCGTGCCACGTATCATCAGCAAGTTGGAGATATCTTCAGTACACGCAAGCAGACGATGTTCCACACATGCATCAATTCCACAATAAATCCCAAATTAGAGAGAAAAGAAATAACAAAGTCCTCCCAAATAAAAGTGCTAACACGCAGACACAAAGCACGGGAGCGAACAAACATTTGGGTATGCAATAACGCAAATGCACACACTCCATTTCGGAGTAACAATGCTGCAGGTGCTGTTCAAGTCTAATGAAGACAAATAAACGTGCGCGAGTGCCTAGAAGTCACATAATAACAAATAAAGATCAATACTTCTCAGAGGAGAATTATTAGCCAGCTTTGTGAGTTTTAGCCAAAAGCCTCTGGGTGTGATTTGTTCTGTCTCACTCATAACTTCCCTTTTTCACAAGCAGACAGAGAAACCCCACATCACATTTCTCTTTCTCTCTTGCTCGCTGTGGTTAGGGCGCTCACTGAGGCGTTGCGAGTTAAGTGGCCTGCCCAGAGGGAGCGTGGAGCTGCGCCGTGGCCCACCTGGGCCTTGATCCCGAGACCCCCTGCGGTCAGAGGTCTATCTCCTTAACCGTTCCTCGGCGATGCTTCGCATTACCCCGGCCGTCCTCAGCCTCCAAACCCAGCGCGGGAGGCCATTAATATAATCACAGGGATGTAGTGTGCGCCGGAGAGCCCCGAGGCTACGGCAATCAGCGGGGCTGAGTGAGGGCTAAGAGGAGAGAGAGGAAGAAAAATATATAAACCCAGAGCAAAATCTCCCATAGCTGCCCCATTCGAAACAGGATCGCGTCGGATCATCATTCCTGGAGAAGCGGGATGAGAGGGGGGCTGAGGTTTGCACTTTAAAGGGGACCTCCCACGACGGAGAGAGAGAGAGGAGGGGGATCATGAATCTTCTCTGCCCAACCTTAAGCCTCTCTAGTTAGTTGATCTAACGATGACTGGTCACAGTACCATCATCATGCAAATTTAAACAGAGATGATCTTTTAGCCGCCTGATGAGGGGGCCACACATACAGGGAAAGTGTTAATGATCAACACCCGACCACAGGCCCCTTCCTCTGCTCCGATCACGTCACCGGCAACGACTCCCGCTCTCGAAACAGCCGATATTCATAACGTTCTGATTAGCGTCGTGAAATTAATTCGTCCTTAAGCATCTTAGTGAAATCCAACCCACAATTACATATAAAAAGTCGAAACTATAAATACCGTGTTTATATTTAAATTAAGCATGTGGGAATTTCATCTCATGCTTTTAAATGCGAGAAGGAGGCAGAACATGCGGCATACTTTTAGTTATGTTCTGGATTTAACTTAACATTTCTAACATGAACAGGTACGAGTTTATTTGACCGCGTAAAGGATGCTGGCGGTTGATCTAACACAATGAAGTCATGCATGTAAACTTTCAGAAGTGTAACCGAACTCTGAGCTGTCCTTACTGAGCGTGCCTTCCATTTTTTTATTCCAGCCTCCAGTCGTGTGGGTTTGGAGCGGATTGGATTGTCCACATTACCACAGGCTGATCTATCCTGACAGCCTTATTTACAAAAACGTGGGGAAGAGTAACAAGGCAAGTTACCCCACACTCTCTCCTTCGCTCACTTAACTTAGCTTTCTCCCAATTACAACGATTGGCACAGACGCCATAACAAAAGAGATGAAACGGGCAACTTAAGAGACAGACAACAACACTTCGTGATCAAGACTGAAAAAAGGGAGCAGGCGAGAGAACAAAAACAATAACAGACAAGAAAGGGGGAGAGGGAAAAGAAGCTGATTTGTGAAAATCGGCGGAGATTGTGGGAGATGTGTTATGGGTAAGCGTCAGCAGGAGGGGAGAAACACATCTTAAGACTTAAAAGGTGTGTAAAGTAAGCTGAGCATCGGGGGAATTCTCTCTGAGAGCCCCTTTAAAATTCACCTCTGTATTAATGCAGATAAATAAAGGCAAATTCCCAAAAGTAAATACTGTTTAACTCTCACCTTCAGCAAGAGTTACTTAAAGTGCTTCTCACAGGACTGTCAGCCCTCTACAAACAAAACCAGGTGGCTGATTGTGTATGCATATATGTCTATGGGATTTAAACAATGCAATTATTCCCATACAAAAATCAGTCCACCCTCCACAGCAAACACCACATTAATACACAATGTACTGCCATTATCATTGTACAATGTTTATTTTCTCTGACATTTAAACATTTGAATTATACAGGGAAATGTTATATTACCTTTATTTAAAGTTCATTATTATAATAATAATAATAATTATTATTATTATTATTGATACTATTAATCGTATGAATAGTAACAATAAAATCAATTCAACCAAATTGGTTGGTAAAATTAATGTATTATTATTATTATTATTATTATTGTTGTTGTTATTATTATTATCATTATTATTATATTATTTATTTATTTATTTATTTATTTATTTATTTATTTATTATTATTTATATTATTATCATTTAGTAGTAGAAGTTTTTAAAGTCTATGCAATAATAATAAAAATAATGATAATATTATTATTAATAATAATAATAATAATAATAAATTATTATTATTATTATTATTATACAATTGTATTATTATTATCATTATTATTACTGTTATTATTATCATTTATAATAATAATACTTATTATAATAATTATTGAAAAGTTGAAACAACACAATAAGATTTAAGATTTCATTGGGATAAATTTTTAATGTTCAATAATTTTCATAATTTTTTATGTTCAATCCGCATAAATTTGTTAAAAGTGTTAACTTAAAAGTTAATGTAATAGATTTATGTCGGGAAAACATGAATGAATTGTGTGGAATGCTGCATTTTGTACAGTGTAATAGTGATTAATGTCTATGTAATAGTAATAATAATAATAATTATTATTATTATTATTACTAATATTATTATTTTTTATCAATATTATTATTTTTTAATCCTATTATTAATTCAGATGGTAATGCTTTGACCCACTAAAATTGTACCTTGCATTATACCCATTGTCTTATTAATCTTATTAATATTATTACTATTACTATAATTATGAACATTTTTAATTCAGATAGTCTTGACCCATTAAAATTGTCCCTTGCATTATAACCACTGTATTAATATTATTATTTCTACTATTATTATCATTTTCATTATTATTAAACTCTTTTAATGCAATGTGTGGAATGCCTCATTTAACTTTAAAATAAATAATTGGGCTTTGCTTTAGCCTTGGCCCTGAGCGACAGAAATGAGCAGATATACAAATACTTACATACTTAATATTTATTCTGAAAAAAATGTGGGCAGGTCTGTACACTCAAATGACACTAAGGGTCTGAAGATGTGGCATTGCCTGTGTGGCAGGAGGGGTGTGGGGTGCTGGACAGTCACAGAGGGGCATGTGTTCAAAGCCTGGAACGCTCATTAGCATGCAGACCTATTTATTTACCTTAGGATCGCCAGAAAAACAGCGAAACTCTATTACAGCTTTAGGAGGAGGGAAAAAAGGTGCTTTAAAAGTTCTAGGTTACATGGTGTTTAAAGTCGCTCAATATTTGCAAACAGCCATTTGAGTGAAAGATGCATTTATATTTAGAAAGATTCAACAGTGAAATGTCAAATAAAGCAGGGAGAAAATAAGGATGCTGAGCGAATGGATTTCATTTACAGGGGTTTCTAATAAAAACGAATAGTTTAAAGTGTATTAATTACATTCTCATTAAACAAATAGTTAATATTAAGGTCAGATATTGAGTGATACGTCCCTGATGTGACCATGATTCCGTTCAAAGTAGCAGGACAGACGTGCAGAGGCATTAAAGAGCTTTGCAAACAGGCGGTCATGTCCCTGACTGATATCAAGCGGCAGTTATCAGCACTGCCACACACAGATCTCTCACAGCCTGTTCAAGAGCACAGCACAGATATGTTAAATACATCACCCTCTCTCTCTTTCAACATCTCTATCATTCTCTCTCTCTCTCTCTCTCTCTCTCTCTCCTAGTGCCAGTGCTTCCCTCTTTACCCTCCGTATGCCATCTCTCTCTCTCTCTCTCTCTCTCTCTCTGGTTAGGAGCTGCTAATTCACAGGGTCTGATCTGTCTGTAAGGCTGGAGACGCCAATGCTATCATTATCAGCCAATTCAGCCAGCCGTTAAATGGAGGAATCAGGAGACATTTGCTCTCCTCCACTATCGCAATGACATCATTACCGGGAGAATCAACAGCACAAGCACTCTGACCGTGTGTTAGTGTGACTGTGTAAGTGTGTGTGTGAGCATGTGTGCGTACACTCGTGTGTGTTTGCATGTGTATGTGTGGTGTGTAAAACATAAAAGGGTCGTATTCAGGGGAAATTAGATGGGGGGGGAGAGGGGGGGAGTAAAAATAACATGAGCCTACCTGTGAGAGACCAAGGACCGGGACACACAGTCAGCTGAAAGTTCCCAAGCGCGGAGTGAGGAAAGATAAAAAAAGAAAAAGAGAGAAAGTGAGTGAGTGAAAAAGTGGTTTGCACATACAGAGTAAATCGCAGCTCGCAGCTAGCTGTGCCACTACTTTTTTTTTTTTCCGCACCCTCCCTCTTTTTTTCTGTCTCCTTTTGCAGCCCCTCTTCAACATTGCGCTAATAGCCACCTGTGAACCACGCAGCCATATGATCCACTCCCAGGCCTCTGGAGTGGAGTCACCTCTGTGTTTTTCGGCCCCCTCCTCCAATGATAAATCATCATCGTTTAGCTAATATCCGTTTTTAACCTCTCTCCCTGATTAACAACACTCTTCCCCCCTGGATACAAACCACTCCTGCTACAGTGCAGCTAAATAGCTCGCCTCTTTTTTTTTTTTTTTTTTTTTCGTTTTTCTTTTCATATTCCATTGCTCTCAGTTTCCCTTTCCTTCACTTTTTAAATTATAGGTCCTTCAAAGATAGGACAAATAACATTTCATTAGCCATGACTGTCACGTCTGTTCAAAAGGGTCACTATCAGCATTTTAACCTTCAACTGCTCAAGAACAGGAAGAAAAGACACGCGCATTTTAATTAACCAATAAAAACAATTTGGAGTCGCAAATAAGCAAGAAACAGATGTTATGGATTACAAGGTGTCACATAAATACAATGCTCAGCATATGTACAGTTAAAGTCAGAATTATAAGTCCCCTTTGAATTTCTTTTTCTTTTTTATATATTTCCCAAATGGTGTTTAACAGAGCAAGGAAATTTTCACAGTATGTCTGATAATATTTTTTCTTCTGGAAAAAGTCTTATTTGTTTTATTTTAGGCAAGAATAAAAGCAGTTTTTATTTTTTAAACACCATTTTAAGGTCAAAATTATTCGCCCCTTTAAGCTATATTTCTTTTCGATAATCTACAGAACAATCCATCGTTATACAATAACTTGCCTAATTAACCTAACCTGCCTAGTTAACCTAATTACCTAGTTAACCTAGTTAAGCCTTTATATGTCACTTTAAGCTGTATAGAAGTGTCTTAAAAAATATCTAGTCAAATAGGATTTACTGTCATCATGGCAAAGATAAAATAAATCAGTTATTAGAGATGAGCTATTAAAACTATTATGTTTAGAAATGTGTTGAAAAAAAAATCTTTCCGTAAAACAGAAATTGGGGAAAAATAATTCAGGGGGGGGGGGGGGGGTAATAATTCTGACTTCAGCTGTAAGTACCTAAGTACAGCCCTCACACATCTCTTTTAAATTGATATTTTTAACAAGAAGCTATACAATATTATATGTGTGCATATACATTAGATTAATCAGCACTGGAGCCAAATCTGGAGCTTATTTAACAAAATAACTTACGATAATGGTAAAAAAAAAACTAGTACAGCCACATTTATATGTTGTAGAAAAATATTAAATAGACATTTTAAAAAGAGGAAAAATCAAGAGAAGCAAAAAAAATGTAGTTAAAATTTTGTAGGTTGTCATTTTTTTGCAATATTTTGCTTGTATCATCTTTCAATTTCTGAATATGTTTGGTGAATAAAATATTATTATAATAAATATATCGGTTTAATAAATCTGTTTTGTTTAAATGCATTAAAACAAACACTGCCTAGATTTACTGAGAAATGTTTCAAATATTCATTTTCAAAATGGGGTGTACTCAATTATGCTGAGCACTGTATTGCGCACACTAATCTACAGTCACTTTTTTTTTTTGATGCGGCACCCCTAGTGGTGGGGGCTAGAAAGAAACGAAGGCTGCGCCGGTCTGACTGGATATTGTCAAAATATTTGCAGCTGAGGAATTCCGACAAGCAAGCGGCTTGGGCTTCCCTACAAAGGACCCATCTTCCCTGAGTAACAAGTGGAGGGAATGAGTGCCGACAGAGAAGCTAAAATCCCTCAGGCTAAAGAAATCCAGCTATTGTAGTAATAACCCCTGAGACCTGGCTGAGTATGTACAGCTTTCAGAGGTACTTCTCATCCTATTTGTAGCCCCGCCAGTGATGTATGTGTGTGCGTGTGCGTACTAGTAAGTGATGGGATGTACACAACGTAGGTCACTTCACTGTTGATGCGCTCCTTTAAACAGACTCCTTTTTTTTCTTCATGTTCTTTCTCATTTTATAGATATTTTTATTTCAGACAAGTGCAACTTCCCACTACAAATACTCGCTGGGGTTTGCCTATAATACTATAATGTATTTTTTCATCTCTCTCCTCATTTTTTTTTTCCTTTTTTGTTCCACAAGGCAAGTTTCATTAAAGATCCAATTATGCAAATCAGGTCCTGAAGAGCCAGTTGAATATGCAGTATAATAGTGTACCGTAATAGTTCAACACAATATACTGCATCTGAGGCAGATTTACGAGGCAACATAACTGCTACGCCTCCGTCCTTTGGAGAAAACCTCTTGATCATAATTAAAGGTGCAGGGTCCCTCTTTACTTCTCAGTGGCATCCATTTTAACCAGGCCGCCCTCCAGGGGGCTGCCGTGCCTCCTGCTCAGGGTGGATGATGCACCCGTCGAGGTCACGACCTGGAAACAGTTCAAGGGTAGGCGTTGTTAAACTCCCCCAATTATCTGAAGACATCTTGTAACAGAGATGCCCTGCGCTCTAACAGCAGACCACCCAGCCACCAGAGGTATCTGCCACTATTTTCGGTGCCTGTGCAGCAATGCAAATATTTACCACTATTTTAAGAGCTCGGATTAGAATGCAAAACAACATAATAGCATGTGCTTAAGGCCAGTGATTGACAGGAAGTCGCTTGTTTGTGCAAAGCCCCTGTCTGCCGAGATGACATGGCTGTAATTTTGTGACTCAAAAAGCGAACAGTCATGTCGGATGGTGCAGTGCAGCACATAGGAATTAGTTTGCTTATTTTTCAAAGTAGGTGTCTAGAATCAGTAACCGCTTCAACAATTAGAATCTGAGGTTAAAAACAGGGGGGCAGGGTGTGGTCAACCAAATAGGTGTCCCATTTCTGAATAAGGAGTAAGGCCGTAGCTGAAGGCTGACCGTGTCTCCCAAGGCTGTGTAAACCTGCCCGATTCAACACTCTCCATGATGACCACATGTCCCACAGCCTCTCTCTCCGAGATGTGTGAGCACGTGTGTGGTGTTGGAAGGCTGAATTTTGTCCACCCATTCCCTCTCCCACTGGAGGGAATTATGAGAAAGGGGGAAAAAAAAAAAACTTGGATACAAAACATCTGCACACATCTGTTTAGCTCTGTCATCTGCGCATGGGCTAACTTTAACTGTAACGTATGCTCAATATTCCTCGCAGTGCCATTAGTCTATCTATATATTTTCCTCATGGAAAGTGCCTCCGGGTGGAGTAGAGCAAGGACCCTCTTTCTCTCTCTCTCTCTCTCTTGCGCTCCGTAGACAGACAGACGCTCCTTCTGGTGGCACCCTGGCATGAGGCAGTGGAGACAAGATCATCCGTCACCACCTCATCTGTCAGGGCACTCTTTATTCTTAGATCACACACTGACTGACGTCTGTGATTAGCCCGCTCAAAAACTTCCACTCCTCTACCCCCTCTCCCTCTCTATCTCTCTCTGTCTGTTTGGAACGACTACGAAAAGCCTTAGAAATCATCACTCATTTATAAGTGACATGTGCATAACAAAATGTCCTTATTCCACTATAATTATTTGTTAAATACAAAAGTTGACATCTGTCAGTAACCGAACATTCCCATTTATATTACGTAAAGTGACATGCTGAACTGTGCCTTCGCCTGTACACGGGCGGATATTGAATGACAGGGAATTATGCGCTTAATCAATTGGAGAGGACAGGCATAGGAGTAATGTGAGGCACTCTTTTTGTAAATGTACTTTTGGAGGATGCTGGATTCTTTAGCGATGGGTACAAAACCACACCCCTTACTTTATCTTGAAAATGTTGATATTTGGACAGAAGAACAGTTAAAACAATGTTTTATTGATAAATTAGGGTTACAAAAGTAAATTTTTGGCAGCAATTCTTTAGAATTTGAGGTTGCACCTAAACAAGAGTTCTTAAATTACCATTTTTGGCTGAAATTAACATTTGTTTTTAGTATCCAACTATATAAAAACTTGTTTCAATGTTAAAAGTTATGTTTTTTTAAAGACTTTTATTTATAAAAGTGCATTTGTAAAATATCCAATCAGCAAAACATGCATTCTTTTCCCAGAAGTTAACATAACCTTCCTTATCTAAATCATTAATGTTACTTTGTTAAGCTAGCAGCATCGTGTGAACACCCCCAACAAATAAAATGCAATGCTTCTGGCATTTAGGGATTGTTCTGCCATGAGGGGAGAGGCCTGAGACTTTAGAGCTGGAGAGGAAGGGAATGAGGGCGATGACGGGGTGGGTGCGCGGGGTCGGTGTCTCCACAGCACATATCAATTAATACCTAAACGCCATGGCCTTGCCTGCCATACTGTCCCCCTAGAGTTGCCTGGCTTGGGCCCGGGCATCTGGAAGACAATTTCCTCCAATTAAAAGGAGCGGGGAGGCATTTAAGTGTGGAATGGCTGTTTGATCAAGTCTCCAAGGCTCAAGCACAGATCCAGCCGGCTAAGCTGGAGACTGACAGGCCTGAAGACAGAGAGAAAGAGAGAGAGAGAGAGAGAAAGAGAGAGAGAAGGTTTGTCTCTTCTTTCCGTTGGCACTGCCCTGCCCTCGGCAGCAGTGAGGGCTGGGGAGGTGCACCTCCACACACCGGGGTTACTGGTGACGGCGGTGGCGAGCACGCAGACCTAGGGACATGCTAACGCCCTCGAACGGTGCCAAGTTCTGCCACACAACACACACTTTCCCTGCCGAATGAGTGCAAGACGCATATGTAAATGAGAGCATACACACCAGGGAGGAGACATTTTGACAGGATTGGCTTGGTCTGTTTAGCCCCATCGAACTGCTATCAGTTGCACTGGCAGAGTGTATTCACAAGAGTCTTCATAACACCCTCTCTCTCACTGCATTTAAACGAGTTTGATATTTTTCCTCCCCAAAAAAACATTTTGTCTCATACATGATCAATTCCATGCGAGCACGATATACATTTTCAGCTGCTAATGTGTTTGTGAGAAGGAAGCAAAAAAAAAAAATCATTAATTAAAAATAAAGCAATTACTGCAACATCAACACCTCCACGACTGTGGATATCCCGAGCCCTAGCTATTTATACTATTTAGCTAATTAATCAGATATATATTTTTTAAAATAACAACAACATGCATTGTTTAACATCAAAACAATTATCATGAAATAAAAGTGTAACGTAGGAACGATTTTTATATTAGATTATAATTAAACTCAATTAAAGCTTGCTGTTAAATAAATCAAACATTTCACCTAATACAACAACGCTAATTCGGATGGCCTATCAATTGTAAACACACACTAGGCATGACTCTCTTCTCTCCCTTTCTCACCGTCCACATTAATCCAACACACTGTTTATTGATTTATTTATTTTAATTTATAAAGGGGCTTACAAGGCTATATTTGTGACCATGTTAATGTTGGCCTTTCAAATGAATTGTGTGGGATTGAGTAAAGAATGTGTGACTTGACTACATCACAATGTCATTTCAAATCAGAAAAATGAAAAGAGCTGACAAAAATGTCTACGCCCAGACACTATTACAGACATAATATCCGTTAAACAATGACAGTACATCTGTGCTGCCTGCTATTTGTCCCTTTCCATAAACAATGAACCTGAGGGAAAAAAAAAACTCATCTCATTTCAACATTATAAAAAGAAGCAAACAAACTAAAAGTAGATGAACGTGTTCATGTCTGTGTTTAATATTCCTTCCTTAAGTAAAAGTTTTGGGTCATCTCACAGAGAGTGACATGAGAAATCTGCACCTGGATGTGAAAGCATGAGACAGCAAATCAATTTTGCTAGATTTAGAATTAAACAACTGAAGTGCGCGCAATAGAAGCACAATGCAATGTGTCATATTATGATTGTGACCCTGACTGGGGTTTTAATCTGTGAACTAACAAAATATGCATAAGACAATGCGTGGAAGGATTTTACTGAGTGTCTAAACGCAGCTCACACTCATGCCATCATGCAACATTTTATATTTTCTTCATTTATTCCCGCACTCCCGCGCGCATTCCTATCCCAAATCTCCAATTCTTACAACTTTCTTGTTCTTCCCCCCCTCCATAATACATCATTTCCCCAAGCGACAATGTTCGCAAGAGTCGTTCAAATCTCCCTTTCCAGAGGAGATGTGCGTGTTTTTTTTCCGCAGATAAAAAGGTTTTTAAGTCTGATATGACATTTAGCCCTCAGTTGTTGAATGCCATCATAAGGCTTCTGTTCATAAGAGGTCGATCACAGCACAAAATGGCAGGTCTCACCGGCTCTTCCATCTCACAAGTTTTGACACATGGCATGCACCGGGTAACTTTGATCCTAATTCTCCAACCGATCTGTGTTCACTTCAGCTGAAATCCTAAACGTAAAGCCCTTGGGGCTGAAGTGAGAAAGTTTGAGCCGAGATTTGAGGAAACTTTCTAACAGCTCCATATCTGTGCTGGCCAGCACGAGCGAATCTGCAGCGCATCCCTGGAAAGCTTCTGTCCACCTTACAGAAATACCGCACACTGTTCCTTCACACTTAATTAATAAAGTTATCCTCGTAATAAATCCCCATTTCAATATATAGCAGCGTGTGCTTTTTTCTTCAAAGCAAGTTCATCTAAGCGCGTGCAATGGCTTCCACTAAACGCTTTCGATATGAAGCCGTTTTATTATCCCACGCGACCACATTTTACACAATTAACGTAGCATCTATTTCAGACAAATAGCGAATTATTATAATGCACGCAGATCTTTAGCACAAACTGACTTTTAGAAAGCGAAGCGAGCGAAAAGCATCCGCGAGACCACTATACTGATCAAGACACTTCTTACCTTTAAATTCATCCGGACGTCAAGACGCGTAGCGAAAGATTGCCTTCATTGAATAAAGAAGCATGTCCACATAACTGAGCTGATGATTTTCTTATACTGCCGAGGGGGTTAAAGTATACACACACACAAACACACACATACACGCGCGCGCGTGCTTCGGACCTGTTATGCTCGTCCTCTCGCGAATCCGTTTCCCAACTGTTCCTCGCGCATCCCGAGTGATGAAAAAGCGCCTTTGAGTTTATTCTCAATATAAACGCGTTCATTGATAGCGATCACAAGATATTTCCCCTCATCTGTCTGTCCGGACTCCCCCTATCTGGATGGTGAAAGGCATTGTGCCGTTAAAAGACACTCCATTGTCGTCCATTCACAGAGAGCGGAGAGAGTCTTGCGGCATTTGATGGGACTAAAAGCTTGAACCCTTGATAAAACAGCCCCGGTGCGCGGAGAAAGCACCTCGAATCGGCTATTTTCCCCACGCGGAGAGCCTCAAAGGCGAATTTCACTCCATCGGATCATCTTATTGACCTTGACTTCCCTGTAAACACTTATTAAAATCTGTCTATCCTCACTCACATTGTCAGCCCCGTTATTCAGACGAGGCGTAATTGGCTTTGATGCCTGTCGCCGTTTAAATAACACCGAGGAAAAACACAACAAATCGCTCCAAATGAAAAATAAATGTGCTTACCTTTTGGGGGAAAGTATGCGAAGTCTTGTATCCTCGAGAAAAAGTCCAGTGAGATGAGCGGAGAGAGCGAGCATCAGTCAGTATAAGAGAGAAGTAATGAGTGATAAAATGACGCTCATCTGCACTGTAACCTTGTGGCGTATTTAATGTAAATAAGCCGGTTATGTTGCACACAATCACACACACACACTCGCACACACACATGCATGCACACAAATAGAGACCGGCCAAGACGGGACGCGCTTTTTTCGCACTCTTATAAGCTAACGCGTCACATAGGAGCGCATATTTAAAAGAAATGCTCGAGAAAGCTTATCAGTTTGTAAATATGAGATGAAATTGCCACTCAGCGGGGCGCGTAGCCTAACCAACAACCTCCCTCTTCATCACAGAAAGAGGAAAAGGGTCCAGACAGCGGTCGAGACACGCGCTCAGAGACGTGGGAGAAGGTCCTCTGAAAAGGTACTTCGGTGAGGACATGAAACTTTTTTGGGGCTGAACTTCAGCGCTCAGGCCGATGTTGCTTTTACAATAGGAGAATAACGCAATTGTGCATTCAGTGTCCCGGCAGTTGACAAAAGCTACTGATTCAATAAACTCTTTGTTGTGGGATTATATAATGATTATGTTGTAATTATGGCAGCGCTTTGGTAATAATAATAATAAAAAAGGAGAGCGTCCAATGGGAATGCGAGTGCGTGAGACTTAGGAAAAAGGGAAGCGGACGCGAAAATGCAGACGGACTGATTGATTATCGATCGATTAGATTGATTATATCGATTTTGATATAAATCCGGGCAAATCAAAGGAAGGGAAGAGAGCAGGTGCTTAAAATAAGTATTAACTTGTGTGCTGAACTTTACAGGTTCATTTTCCCACGCTGCAAATAGACAGTTTATTTTACTTTTACATTTTTATGCTATTATATATATATATATATATATATATATATATATATATATATATATATATATATATATATATATATATATATATATAAAGACAACTAAATAAATAATAAAATAAAAAATAATTTAATAAAACAGACATAGCACGTATATATATATATATATATATATATATATATATATATATATATATATATATATATATATATATATAACTACTATTATTATTTTATGTATGCATGTTTTTAATCACGACGCAATTGTTTTAATACCAAACTTTCCTAATTAGACAAACCAACGAGACTGATTGTGGATGACTTCTGTGTTATAGGACCTGGTGACATCTAATGATACGGTACATTTACACGAGCAGGGCTAAACACTTATTACTCCAAACTGTTTTATCCTGTGACAAGTTGCAAAGTGGAAGCTTTTCCTCTTTCTCTTTCTGCTTCACCACACAGTTGTGCGTTTGTGATATTTAGTGTGTTCAAAGGAGCATTAATCGTTATTAAATCCCGAGGCAAAGGCTCGCCTTCTCTTTATTTTCTTTCCAGACAAAACACACGTTTTAAAAGATAGCACATTCATTATTCACTATGAAAATCAGATTCCCATGCTGCCCCTTAAACGCTCAGGAATTCAGCCCGCATTTTCCAGTCTGATGTGTATGAAATTCCTTTTTGAACAAATTCCAAAATAAAAGTTGTGCCTCTAAAGAAATTAGCATAACCATCCCATCAATAATATCGCTATCTCTATGGGAATGATAGCGAAAGCAGTAGGGGTGTTCCTTTACTCAATTCTTCATGGATTCTCTGTTTCTTTTGAACTTGTTATAGCAAGTCAAGTGATTCTTTATCGGTGACAGGCCTGACAATACACGACGAGGACGGGAAAGCAGGTCAAAAGGAAGTTGCCATATGGACTTCAACATGCACTTTCCTAACAATATAGGGCAGAGATGTGCTGTAGCCTATACTCACTAGTCTGTGTATCGTCCTCTCCATTTTCTCGCTTATTTTTAAGTGCCCGGGGTTAAAACAAGTTGAAGACATTTGCTGCGGATAAAGTAGGGCAGCTGTTTTCTTCTTAAAGTCAATCGCTCGTCTGTGTTTCTTGTCTGTTTACTTCTTCGTGGCTTTTACGCTAACAAACAAATGTGGATGCGTTCGGTTTGGCTGCTATCCATTTTATGGATTTTGGTGCAAAAGGAACGGAATAAGGTAAAATTGTCACGTTGTCTGGTGTGTTTGGAAGGGCAGCATTCGAGATTGATCATTTTGTCTCCGCAAATATCAACTTGTAACAGGAATCAAAAGGTCGAAAGATCCTGACGGCTCGAGTCACGTGGCTGCTCACTGCCCGCGAGCAACAGGTGCATAAGGGGAGGAGGGAGGAGGACTCCAGGCATCCTTCATCTATTTCTCCCTCTCTTTTTATTCATTGTTGCATTTATAATGCTGATAGTTTCATATTTGTTCATTGGTTTCTATATTCTATAGTGTTTAATATAAAAAACAAATAACTATATTCTATATTTTTTAAATAGCTGATGCATATATATATATATATATATATATATATATATATATATATATATATATATATATATATATATATATATATATATTCATTCATTCATTTTCTTGTCGGCTTAGTCCCTTTATTAATTCGGGGTCGCCACAGCGGAATGAACCGCCAACTTATCCAGCAAGTTTTTAATTTTGGATAAGTATATATTTATATACTTTTGGATATTTATATATATTTTATATTTATTTATATTTATATTATATTTATTATTTATTATATATATATATATATATTGCAGATAACATGTCCATGTCCATTTTTGTAGTTGCATTACAGTTGTTGTTTTCTTAAAATTAATTTAAACAGTGACATTACTGCTTTAGCCAAACTGTATATTTGTAAGTGATTAATTAATTCATTAATTATTATTGTATGTATTGGTATTCATTTAATTTTATTTATTTATTTTCTATATATTTTTTCCCTTCATTAGTAAATTTGATATGGTCATTCAGTGTGACAAATGAATTTTTCTTAAGTACAAAAATAGATTCGCTAGATGTTGATTCTCAATTAATATGTTATAATGAACACTGCATATAGTAATTAGGGAACAATTAAGAATGCATTATTTTAACTAGCTTTAGATCACACTCCAGTATATACGCAGCTATCCTTATACACACAGTCAGTCAGTTCACATGAACTGGGTTTTGTTGTTTATGTTTTGTTTCCGGTAAATAAAAAATATTTTTTATTTAAAAATGAAAAAGAGATGTGTGTGTTGCTCATTTTGCTTTACCGCATCAGTAAAGCCAGACTAGTTATTTTTGTGACACTGAAAAAGCTGCTGTGGGTAATACACTACTCCGAGAGTAACCCACAGGATTTGTTTATACTATTAGACCAAGACCACACACGTCCAGTGTAAATATTTCAAGACATCAAAGCACATGCAAACACTGAGCATTTTATTTTCAATACACTCTCATAACCGCTAACAAAGTGTCAGGCACAGAAAGAGAAGAAGAAAAAAAAATCAAGGTTTGAGCAGTTAAGAAAAGATAAAACAGTCTTGGCTGGTTTTGTTACTTTCTCTAAAATTCTCTCTGACAGGAATTTAAGAATCAGCCTATCAGCGCTGCGTCTGGTATCTGTCCAAGACAGTAGGCCTCTAAAACAGACATGCCAGTGTTCAAAAAAAAAAAAAAAAAAAGACATGAAGATGTTAGTTCGCTTCATCTACTTTGACTCTTTGCCCTGAAAGCAGCTATTTAGCATCTTTTAGCAGATGTCCAGATAATTCACAAGTTTATTACATTAATTCAAGGGAGCAATGACCAAGGAAGTGATGTAGTCCTAATCAGCCACAAAGTGAGAGGGAGAGAGAAAGAGATGTGAGGCACGACTGTCACTTTAAGACAGAGCAAATAAATGACTGCATAAGCATTTTATCCAGGAGCAGTCTGATGGTTTAATGCTGTGCCTAGTTTATATCTACATACAAACACACCAGAATGGTTTTCTCATATGGAAGACGGGGAGGGGGGCTACATTACTTTTAAATTGAGTTTCTCTGAGCATAATCTGTTCCAGGTCTTTGATGAAGAAATGTTCTCAAAGTATCACAGTGACTGATTTAATGAGAAGCGAGTGAGCACAATTTCAAACAATCTGATTTTCTGAACCTTCTGTGACTCTAAACTTTTAAAATTGCACTTAAGAATCGCATCAATTACTCTTTAAAGTATGACATCGGCTAACTAGGCGCACTAGCATAACAAACACACGCTATGGCGTATTTACTCCATATCCTCTCATCAGGATCTGATACATTGGTCCCTTATGTGAGCTCTTTGCGAAGCTCTCCCAACTCCATTACCGCTTCCCTTTCTCTATACACGTGTGGCAGATCTACAAGTCTGACGATGATTTAGTCAAATATTACAGAGGCAAATATTTAGAGCCGACTTCTAGGTTTTCAGCATCTGATGAGACTATACGTTTGTACGTCCTCTGTATTCTTCAGGCCACAGTTTAGATGATGCTTCTCTGAAATCCCACCCGCCGCTGATGAACTGAGAGAAGTGTACAATGTCTATGACTGATAACGGGACTAAATCATAATTTAAATCATCTGAATGAATGTCTGACCGGGGAGAGAGAGAGAGAGAAAATCTAAACGAAAACATCTGACTTAAATTGATTACCAACAATGTTGAGCATAAGAGATTTAATAATGATTACATGCCTAAAATATCCAGGCCATTTTGAGAATCCATCACTCTTATATCTCTTCGTAAAAAGAAGCCACTGTATGGCTTCACAAGAAGAGCAACAACACAAAAACGAACAACAACATTAGCATTGGGAGAAATTAGCTTGCTAATCACTGTCTTAGTTGCTTCATTATAATTTGGCTTCTCTTAAGCTCGGTCTTGAGACTTGGAAAAGTAATAAATTGAATGCTAACACGAGAATCAACTTAAACGTATACAAAATAACTACTTTTTTTTAACTTCACAGTGAAAATAATGAGCAAAACCCCTAAGCATGTACTCATCATGCTGGCCTCAGCTCAAACACGGTGTCGCCTCCTCTTTAAGGTCCATATTTCTGTGAAAGCGAGCCATCATATTTTACTATTACCTATCAATTGGTTTCTAATCATGGTAATGAGGCGTCTGCCGTTTGGTGACAGTGAACTAACGGCCTCCGTGGGAGCATTAAGGAGCCTGGGTTATGCTGTGGGCCGTTAACTACCTACAGGCGCTTGCTAATGGCTCCAAATGACCTCCTCAGTGGCTATTAGCACATAATTAGAACCTTGCAGACCATCAATGACTTCCACCGGACATGCGTACCTCTTCGGTCTTCTCCTCCTTGCTCCCCCACTTACTGTTTAATGGTCAGATTATGGTCAGGTGCTGAGATATGACCACAATTGCTGCATTAAGTTGTGTGTGGCTAGCGTGCATCCAGTGCTACATATGGTAAAGCTAGAAATCATTTACAGCAATGCAAC